TCCCAGAAAATCCCGAGAGTCATCTGCATGTCTTAAGGTCATTTGGGGGGGGGGGGTCACAGCAACCTTACTTCTTTTTGCAGTGTGTGTATGTGTATGCATGCGTGTTCCTGTGTATGCAGATGCCACGTGTGAATGTATTGTGTGTGTTGTATGCATGTGTATGTGTTCATGTGTGTGTGCACGTATGTAGGTGTGTGTGAAGCCAAAGGTTATTGTCGGGTGTGTTCCTCTATCCCTTTTTTTAAGGCAGGGACTCTTAATGGTCCCAGGGCTCACTTACTGGCTAAACTGACTAGCCAGTGAATTCCAGGGATTCAAATGGCACTTCTCCTAGTCTTAGGGTTACAGATTGTCACCACACCTGCTTTCACCATGTAGGAGCTGACAACCTGAACTCAGCGACTGCTTCTTACTGACTGAGGTATCCCAGACCTTAGTTTTCATTTGTTTGTTTGTTTGTTTGTTTGAGACAGAGTCTCTTGCTGACCTGGAAATTACCAATGAGTCTAGGCTGGTTGGCCCACAAGCCTCAGAGACTCACCTATTTTATAGTACTGGGATTACAAGCATGCCACCATTCTTGCATCTTTAACTGTGGGTTTGGGAATCAAACTCAGGTTTTTATGTTTCCATGAGAGCACTTTACTCACTGAGATACAGAGCCCATCCTTTTTTATACACAACCTAAGATGATGAACCTTTTATAAGTTTTTCAAAACATTCCTTAATGTTCATTCATTTGGCACACAGGTATTGCTTTTGGAAGGTTCTCTGGAAGATCTCAAGCTAAAAGAAACACAAGACAGAGCCCATGGCCTCGAGGAGTTATAACCCTTGATGAGGCAAACACACAATAAGTAAACAGGCACTGTATAGCAGCAAAGCACTGGATGTTGGAAATAAGATAATAAATTCAAGAGACTAGTGAAAATTGAGCAGTTTTTAACATAGCATCCTGCAGAAAAGGTTGCTGACATAGAGAAAAGGCAAATGTTTTTTTTTTTTTATCTAGAGCAAGAGAATGATTTTTTTAAAGCCCCTGATGTCAAGAAATCCCTATCCTTTCCTCCCATAGGCCAAGAACTTCCCCCCCTTCCCAAACTCCCCATCTTATTGGTTTAGGGCATACACCCTTGTCCTTCTTATAGTTTTGCACACTCATTCCTTGGGCTAAAATATTCAACTATCCACATCTCTCCTGGCTTTGAAGGTTGTCTTTCTATCATTGTAATAAATACTTAAAGAATTAATATACAAACAGAAAACATACACTTTGCTTCACTGTTTAGCCACTTTACCTGGTGACTGATTATAGCCATTGCTTTGGTTTTTAGAAACGTGTCACAATGGGAGTGTGTGGCAGAGGGTAACCAAGAAGCAAAAGTGAGACAAAGGAAGGGCAGCTTCCTTGAGGGCACATCCTCAACAACTTGAGACATCTCAAAGAGGCTGTTACCTATTAAAGGCTAGGTCAGTTCCCAATAACACTACACATGGGAAGGAAGCTTTTAATACAGGCATTTGTCCAAGGTATCATAAGTGTTCAACTTTCCTGGTGCGTTTCCTCTGAGAAGGCTACTGCTCTGTTCCTACTCCTTCCCCTGCTTCTCTTTGTCTATTTTGAATGTTTTGAGATTGAGTCTCACTCTGTAGTCCAGACTGACATGGAAGTCACAGCAATCCTCCTGCCCCATCCTCCAAGTGCTGGGATTGTAGGTATAAGTCACCATGCCAGGCTGAACTTCCCTTCTCTGAGTCTTTCTTAGACTTCACAGATGTTTTTCCTCTATGATGTCTGCATGTGATCAGCCTCTACACTGTGGGTCTAGGATTATAAATCATTGTATGTCCCCCATGGCACATGCTTGATTCATCAAACACTTGTGTAAGTCATATCTTCTTACAGAGAAGTCCTAGTCACTCTCATTGTAACAAACTGGATGCCCAATGAAAGCCTTTTCTAATGCCAGTGTCTTCTATGTTTGGGGCAGTGTGTTTCCTTATGAAACAGAAGCAAAAACACCGTGAGGCAGAATCATGGGCTCTCTCTGATTATATAAATGTATGGTAAGATCCTACTGTTCTGGGATAAGTTTGTGGTATAGAACAAGCCTGTCTCTATTTTTTAAGATGAATTTATCTTTCTTTTATTTGTATGTGAGAATGGCTGCAATCATGCATGGCTGGTACCTGATCATACTACATCAGATAACTTACACTGGTGCTTGGGAATCCATTACTGATCAGTTGGAATGATATGGTGATAGGGCTGGGGTACTGAGCTAAGATTGAGTCATGGGTCATGGTAACTCCCATTCAGAGCATACTACATAAAATTTAGAAGTAGGGAAAGGCTCTATGTCTAGAGTTTAAAATTGCATCATTATTACAAAGTAAAACAGCACAACAAAATAGACCTTCTGACACCTAAAAACAGCATCCTTGCTGGCCACCCTCTCTAGTGCTGCTGCCAGGAGTCAGTGGGAGAAAGGATGACCCACCAGATGGAAAGGGAGTTCATCATCACTGTTCAACCCACATGAACGCTCTCTACACTCCATGTTTGAAATAAATCATGGTTCTTTTATATTTTAAATAATTTTCAAGCACATAATTGGCTTAGTGGTAGATAGTTTAAAATCTCCTTCCTGAGAAATAAGTAAGTCTTTCTTTTGTCTAAGTCATGGCTGCTTTTCTCACATCTTTTAGTAGAGTCCCCCAAAACACACTAAACCTAGACAGTATTTTCTATATTGCTGTATGAAGAAACCTCAGAAACAATGTTTATTGACCCATATTCCCTACTGTCTTCACTCTTACTCTTCTGTTAAATCTCACTAGCCCACCAGCCATCCAATTAATGGGGTTAATGACTAACCATACCACTCCTTATCTACCTCCAGTCTCTACCCACTTACCCTTCTCCTGGGAGGATTGTTTCCAGAGCTCATCTCATTAGTATTTTTTGTCACCTGCCCCTTTTTCTGGCCTCTAGGTCCCTGTATGCTCAGGCACCTTAATGAATGCTGTGTGATCTATAGCAGATGCCTGGCTATACCTGTTCTCTGGGTCCTATGTCAATGCTGGATGAGCTCTGTAGCATGTGCCAAGGAGGACTTGTAGCCCTGAAAGCTTTCAAAGGAGGGCAGCAAAGAAACCCTGTTTCTGTTGCCTTGCAGGTTTAATGAGGGAATAGGATTCTTGATCCAGGATGGCCAGGAGGTGTGCAGTGGCTGGTCATGCTGCCACTTGTGTGTCAGTCATGGTGAGATGCTAGATGACTACAGTTTACCAAGATCATATCATCTCCAGATAGCTGCATAATTCTAATAAAACCTTAGTTCCCTGGTAGAAACACTTGATCCTTTTAGGAATCCTACGTATTCTGGAATATTCTATATCATAGTGGCAAATATATTTTGAATAGTCATTCCTTGAAGACTCAGCCTAATGATTCATGTGGTACAAGTTAAGAGTAGTTTCAGTGACAATACATACAACAGAAAATATTGAACATCTCTCTACCCCCCACCAGCAGCAGCAAGAGCACAGAGGATATTTTCTTCCAGAAGGGCCCCATTGTATCCTCCTCTGGAGCTGGGGCTTCACCAGCCCTCATGCTGTGTAATTGCATCCAGGGGCCTTGAGTGGGCTAGTATCATAGTCAGAGTTCAATCAGGACAATCCTGACAGTGCCTGTACAATATACTTTACTTCAACCCAGTGTGCCAAACATGTTCTTCTTTTGTTCTCCAAATGTCCCTGGGGTGACTACAACCACCTTCCTGATTTCAAAGATCCTTGGCTGTAGTACTATGGAAAGACTGATGATAGAATGGGTGGTAATGACTCTTCTCAGCCAAGGAAGAGCAATGTCTCTGCCATAGATGTGATCCAGGACCCACCTGGAGAAGCACATCCCTTTCAAGTTTATTAGTCTAATGAAGTCTCATCTAAGTTTCCTTCCTCTTCCATGAAAATCTTTTCCTCCTAGTCACTCTGGCCCCTCTCCATCCAATTCACTTCATTCCAAACCAAATTTTCTCCCCCACAGAAGCCTGTAGCATATCCTTCCATGATGGCCAAAAAATGTTCTCCACTAATTCTTCATATCCATATGCATAAAGATTTCTATCTTATTTACTATGTTTCCAGACCAATGTTACCATAATCTTGTCCTACTGCTGAGCATTACCTGCGTTGCTAGTGTGGAAAGTTCCAAACATATGCAAGTAGACAGGAAATCCTAATGTACATTGAATCCAGCTTCAACAGCTATCAATATGTGGCTAATTCAATTCATCTTAATCTTCAGTTCCCTCCCCATCACTATTAATGAATCATTGTAAAGCAAATCTAAATACCATCTACACAAATTTCAATAGACATCTCTAAGACACACGAGCTCTTTAAAAGATTGCCATAAAATTTTGTAACAACCAAATTGCACCAAATACTCAGCAGTGACTCATGCTTCTCCAACAGATAGTATTGTTTTACTTGAATCAGGAAACAAAGAAACACCTACACAGATTTCTTTTGCTTCATATTTCTCTTAAGTCCTTTAAAATTTATAGCATTTCACATGCACAGGGGTGGGAGGTGTTTCTTGCCCTGAAAACCCTTCCATTCTGGATTTTGCTGATTATTCCCATCATGTGTTGAATATTCTCAGTCCTAGAATATGTGAAATGAGGATCATCAACTTCATAGCATTATGCCTAAAATTAGATAGTCATGCATGTTACTTTGCTGTATTAAGCAAAGAAATTGATTTTATACTGTTATTTTAAAAAGAAAAAAACTTCACAAGCCAATGCTTGCACACACATTTATTAAGAAGCAGCCAAGAGAAATGTGTCAGCCCCTCCTCTTGAGTTCAACCTTCTTTATTGGTGTGTAACAAGGCCCAAGGGCTAGATGCACTACATAATCAAAATCAAATGCTAGCTTTTTACAGACTTGGCCCAAACTGCACAACCAAAAACTGCAAGAAATTTGAGTATTTCATATCCGTGTTTTTATTATACTTGACATATACATTTTAATTGTAATGCTTCTTGCAGATCCACATTTAAAAAACCCTCAAAAGAAAAGGAGCTTTTATTCTAATTTAGCAGAAAGCACAACCATTGGTGTGGAGGCAAATGCAAGGACTGCTGCTTTCCATCCATAATTATCTATGTTCGACGCATGCTGCCACTCACGGGGGCTCTAGTAACATGCACAAAAGCACTGCGTGGGTTTCCACCTATTGTCTTCTCTTTATTCTGATTCCTTCTCCTCTTCTGAAAAGTGAGGGACAGATTTCTTTGCCACAACATTGTCCAGCCTCTTTCCTTGTAGATATGGATTGACACTCTGAAAAAAACAAAACAGAACAAAAAATCCTTTGGCATTACACTCCTTTGGCACTACACGTGAACCTCCTCCGACACAGACATCTCACACATAAGTGTAGAAGCATTTACCACTCCTTTGCCAAATGATGGTTCCAGGGAGTTGGTTAATACCTCAGTGCCCCATAATGCAGTATACAGTCTCACTGACAGATGTTACCAATAGTGTCTTTCATAAAACCACAGTGTTCTTGATCAAATGCAATGTAGCCTTTTTATTGTTATATTTAGCTTACAAGTTTGGGGTGAACCAGAAAAATTCTTGCTACTATCTTAGGTACCAAATCTCATGTGAAAGAAAATGATTATTCTGTGGTACTATTTAAGTGGGAGGGAGAATCTGAAATGCCTTAATTAATCCATAGGAAGCATGTTAAAGGAAAAGACAAATAGGGCCAAGTGGGAGTTAGTGTCTGAAGACTGGCCCATGGCTGCAACTCTTCTATGCATGCATTCTGTTAAACACAATTCATTATGAGATTTAGCAATCAAATCCAACCTTCCCTCGGTCAAACTTAAAAGGCAAAATAAAACACAAAGCCACCGGGAAGGGTCTTTGTTTTTTACTTAGGCCTCCATATTCTGGAATCTCATTTGTTGATGTGCTGAATGAGTCAAAGAGTTTCCATTGCTTCTCTAATAATATGATTTTTTTTTTTGAGGTTTGGATTTGAACTGGTAACTGGAGCTGTGCAACATAATCTTTAGTGAGCAGGAAAAATTTCAAACGCTTTGGAAGGTATTTGTTTATTGAAGCTGCCTTCCAGCAGTGCAACAGAAATGTAAGAAACAGGCTGAGGTTACAGATGAGGAACCATCCTATTACAATGGTAAGCTGCTGTGAGTGAACAGACGCAGTTCTTGTGTGGGCCTGGCCTGCACAGTTCTCCTGAAAGGTCTTCAAAAGGCAAGGACTGGAACACATGAGTAGCCCTTGTCAATGGACTTCACATTCTGGTGTATAAAAACGTAAATCAGGGAGGACCCCAGCCACTCTGAAAAGCTGACTCACAAACAAGGTAAGGACTACAAAACAAGCGGTGTCTTTACATATTTGAAAAGAAGCATGTCACAAAAAGATAGATATCCCTAAAGTATTCAAAATAGTACGCTTCCTGTTGAAATTTGTCAAATAGCGTGCTCTGGCCCAACCTAAGGACTCATATAAGAAACTCTGAGTAGGCAGATGTACTGTGTTTGGAAAGAGTATATTCAATACTATAAATGCTTTTCAGTTTCATAACAGTATTGATTCTTAAAATTCTAATATGTTAAAAGAGAATTTCAAATATTCATATTTGTCAATTGTGGGACTAAGCAGCTGATAGACTGTTTAAGATAATTAGTGGATTCAAAATGGTAACAAGACACAGCTTTAGAGTTAATTTTTTTCAGAATCACTTAAAAGTGCATTGATCTTTTAGTTGCAAAGCAGCTAGAAATTCAAATGGCCTAGAGTAAGTGAAAAAAGTCACACAAAATAACCTGGAACCATCATTTGACAAGGAGGTGGCAAATGCTTCTGCATTTATGTGAGATATCTATGTCGGAGGTTCACATGTAATGCCAAAGATGTTAGGGATCCAGGTTCTTGCTAAGAAACTGTCATGGTGCAAGATAGGCTATCTAGACCCAGAAATGCCAAAAGTTGGAGGAAAGGGAAGAGGGAGATGCCAAGGCCAAGCCTTGACATTTTTTGGTTAATGTTCAATTATCAAACCAAGTGCTTTGTTTTAAGTGTGTTCTGAAGACCTCATGATGATACTTCCATATGTATGGTCACTCATGGTTAGGTCATATAGAAATTGCTATTCACATCTGACAACTGGAAGGACAGCTTGGGATGGAACCTTGCTTCCTGTCCTTTTCAACTCCCAGTAGATGGTGAACTTCATTGGAGTAAGCCTTAATTCTTCAAATAAGTGAGCTATGATTTCTTTATATTGATTCTTGCTCCAGAGAGGGTGGTTAAGATCGCCAATCAAGATAGGAACAGCAGCTGAGGCGTGGTAATGGGGGAGGGGAGGACTTTTGCTTCCTCATAAGTCTGCAGGGGCCCAGGGCTAAAGGAATGAGAATGGGCTTTATAGATGTCTGGGAATAGAAGGAACCTGAAACCCTGGGTCACAGTGACTCTTATTTTCCTAAATACTAAGCCTTGTCTATGTGGATGAAGTTGAGGCCAAAGTAAAAATCCTTTATAACATATGTCTTAGCCAGAATCTTGAGTTTTGGTAATCACTGGTCTCATGGAAATATGATCTAAAGTCAACCTAAGTTCCTCCAAGTCATGGCAGAAGGCACGGTGGGCCAGCAACTAGAGATAATTAAAACTGCATACTGTTATTCATTTGGGGTCAGTCATTGGCCTTATTTGGAAATGTCCTTGCTGTACCTTGGGGGATATTCAAGCCATCTTCCTGGTAAATTATGTGTATTCTGAGCTCCTAGAATAGAATTTCTTGATGTTCTCTCAAGAACACATTACACCCTTCCTGTCACCATCTGCCATTGGAAGCTGTAATCACCAAGAAAAACCCTAATAACCCTGCTTATTCTCCCAGAGAAGATCTGCTTCCAGATGTAACAGCTTTCTGCTTCTTGAGTAGGAAGTTGTCTGTGGGTCTTTTGTGTTTGTCAGACAGCTGGGGCCTTTTGATTAATACCAAGGCCAGAAACTCCACACTTCTGAAAACATTTTCTGATTGAACTTGGCTAAGCTCTTTAGATTGGGCACAATTGCCACTGTCTAGATTCCCAATTTCCCCTGAGATCCAGGTACTTGTTATTCCAAACAAATCATCAGTGGCCTTGGGTATACAGGTTGGTTTGCCTATTTTAAGTAAAATAATTGCTATAGTAGTAATGTACTGTACAATAGCAGGTCTTTTAGCCCTCTTGTTGGGTCAGATAAGAGGCCGTGTTCCGATCCTTCTGTCCAGTAAGGTACCAGTAGAATAGTAAGATGGACATTGACCACTGTTAAGTCTCAGAGCTATAACATGCACCAGAAACCAAATATGACTTGACATTCAGATTTATACCAAGCAACACCGTATAAGGAGTAGCAAAATGAAAACATAGAGACCAAAGGCAGTCTTGGACAATCCTCCCAAGAAGAGCTAACTAAGCCAGCACTAGACTTAGCAGTCAGCAAATGAGAAAAGTGCAATGCATGTTACACCATCCTGGCTAGGTGTATGTAGATATGTAGAAGAAATTCAGAATGACAGCCTGCAGTATGTACTTTCACACTTTGTTTTCCATCATGTGACTTACATAACTGATGCAGATGTGTGAGCCATTTCCTCCACTGGCTTCAGTGTATGTGAGGAAAGCTATGCCCTCAAATCCTCCCTGCACACTCCTACCCTCCCTTTGTGAGGTACCATTCCTGGTTGCTGGCCAGAAGGGAAGTAATGAGTATTCCACATCATGTCCTAAAGCTTAGGGAGGAAGCCATGCCACCCTAGAAACCAAGGGTATATCTGCTAGGTGTGGCCCTTGCCATACAGGATTTCTGATCTGTTCTTTGGTTTTGCATCAGAAAAGATTCTGCCACTTTCCCCAAACCAAACGCTTCAATTGCCCTACTCAGAAGCACTAAATGCCCCAGCAGCACCCGGCCCTTGTGTGACTTACCCTTCGCTTCCGCCTCTGCCCTCCCTTCATCTTCTCATAAAGGAGTTTCTTGTTCTAGAGTGGAGAGAAAAGAAAACACAAATGTACAAGTATGGATTGCATTTGGTAACTGTCTATTTTAAAGCGACACTTGGTGTGTCCCCTGGATATTTGCATACACATATTTTGGAAACAAAGCTAGATGAAAGGAATGTCGTGTCAGAATGACAGACCACAAGAGAAAAGCTGGTGACTGTGGCGCTTTTCACAAAGTCCTCTGCAGTGCCTCGAGGCACACAGTGTCATCAACAATCTCATAAACAGGGAAAGATGGCATGCTAAAATAGCAGGGTGTGGGAAGCTCATCTCCTCACTTTGAACCGTCTTTGTTTAAAATAAATAACTTTATCTCAGTATCTAATTCCCTTTTTATGAACTACACACATGACTGTACTCTGGAGCAGTGTCCGGCCATTAACAACAATCGTCTGTATAAATAAATGAGATGCTGACTTCTGCAGCCATCCCTCCCATGGCTCATGTGAGTGCCCCCATCAAGCCAATCACAGGACCATTTGGTCTATAACATTTTTAATAGAGTGAACCTTTTAAAAACTGCCAAAAAACTTCTTGGCAGAAGGGAGAGTTATAGTGTGTGTGTGTGTGGGGGGGGGTGCTTCTCTGTGACCACAGTTTGTTTAAGTGTTCCCACATACTGCTGTGTGTCAGGCACGGCAAACTTAAATGAGCTCTAGAATATCAGACACAGACTCAGCACATTGCCATCTAGTTGAGACAATAAAAGACAGAGAACACTTAACCTGAATGTGGAACCAGAGAAAGGGATGTGGGTGTTTCACTTGTATTCTTTTATTTTCAAATCATAATTGTAACTACAATACCCTAACACTGACTTGTAAGAAAAAGAGCCGACGGAGTTCTGGTGAAGAACAAGTTTAAACATCATTTGTATCCTCCGAACTGTCTGGTTATTAACTGAATATTTAAATGGTAGACTTGAAAATGAAAGTGACAAATGCCAAGAATGAGCTTCATTGTTTTCTTGCTCATTAAAACCCACCACCTGCCGTTTACAAATGCGCAGCTTTGCTTAACCTCAAATATCCAGGAGCAGGGAGTATGCCAGGAGCAGCACCTCCACAGGCACTGCCTGGGGCCATTATCTCTGGCTCTCTTGGGGTATGGAACAAGTAAATATCAGGAGGGAGAAAAGGTAGGTCTACTGACCTACCTTTTCCCTTGAGAAGTCAGAATATTGTAGCTGGTCTCCACTTCAGTGTCTGAATATAAACGACAAGTCTAATGCACATAGAATGTTCTGGGTGCGCAGGCCAAAGTTGGAAAGGAGATTGGAGTAAAGAGGGTGAGGATAGCGACTGTTCACATATAATACTCCCTTCAACTGTCTGAACTGGAGGGAGGACAGAGGGGCCTGCCAGCTGGTGCAGTGGAGCCCACTGCCCATCAGTCCTGGCACAGTTCCAGCATGCTGCTAAATGAGACGAAGGCAGCAACATCTCAATCCCCCTTATGAATCTTGGGGAAAATTATAGGAAGAAGCAAAGAAGATCTGGAAATCTTCCTCTCAAAGATGTCCCTGCTTTCCTGGAGAGTTAAGGTCAGGACCAGCACGCTCATGCCCCCAGCCCCTTCATGGTGAATGTGTCTGGGCTTTGTCCATTAGCTCTGTGTCAGTGGGATTTGATGGCAGAGATTGGCAGGTGTGATGCGAATGAAAAAAGTACACAAAATGAATGAAAATAAATCAGCCACTTCCCTGACACCCACTTGTTAGTTCCTTGGGGAGGAGTGGCCTAATTTCCAGGAGCGCAGCTGGTTTAAGTTCATTAAAGGCTCTCCATTATGCCATCAAGATTTTGGACAACCCAGTTCCATTCCTAAAAGAACCCTGGGGGATGGATAACTTTTTTAGAGAACTGTCTGATCCGAGGGCTAGGCTATAGAAAGTACAAGGATTAGTGATGCTAAATATCTGATTGGCCATGAAAGTAAGAATGTGTTCAAACAAGTGCTAGAGTTGTGTCCAAAGGAAGGAAAAGACAGCTTGAAGAAATTCCTACCTGTTAAATACAGGACATTTTAAACATCAAACTCAGTAATGATGAATCTAAAGAGGTACCAGATAAATAAGCAGGTTTATAAACAAGAAAGGAAGCACTGGAAGCTCCCTGTGGGAGTAGGATGCAACTTAGCAAATAAAGAAAGAACAAGAGAGCAAAGCTCATGAATCTACAACTACCATAGTTATAATTGATTCTGGTAAACACCACCAACGAAGTGGTTAGCAAATTGGCAAAACATATCGGTTAGCAGTGTCATGGAGATCAGAATATTTACAGTCTCACAGTAGTTTCCCACATGTTAACTAGTAATTTCAAATGATTTTATATTTAATTAATTTAAATACATTAAATTAAGTAAAATAATTTAAATATTAATTTCAAATATTTATATGCATGGACACCACTTTATTGAAGGGACTGAAGTTACCACTAACAGTTAGGGGACAAACTGACACCATGCAAACTGCTGAGGATATACATAAACGCCATGACTACGAAGCAACCTAAAAAGTTGATCATGCGAAAACAGAGAGAATAAGTGACTGCCAGAGCTGGGGAGGGTGAGGGAGATGGAGAGACATGGTGACAACCCACAGGTACATGTAGTTGAAGGAGGAACAACTGCAAGAGCCCTTTAGCACAGTGGAGCAACCATCTTAACAATTACTGTATGTGTTAGAACAGTGGGGAGAGAGTACTCTAAACATTTTCAACGTCAAGATAAAAGCAAAGGAGCTGGACAGATGACTTAGCAGCTATGAGCACTGCCTGCTCTTCCAGAGGACCCAGGTTCCATTCGCAGCACTCACAGGGCAGCTCACACTGTCTCTAACTCCAGTTGCAGGGAATCCAGTGCTCTCTTCTGGCCTGTGTGTGTACCGCACACACATGCTGCATAGACGTACATGGAGGCATAGCACCCACACACATAAAATAAAATCGTAAAATGTTTAAAGAAATGAATGCAGTCTGAAGTTATACATAGGCCAATCACCCAGATCTGATTGTCACACATCAGGGACCTGTCATTGACATGACACACTGTACTCTATGAATATGTACAATTATTATGTGTCACCTCAAGGAAGAAATGAAAAACATTGCTCACGTCTAATAATATGGAAACCTAAGAGAAACCAGGGCTGGAGAGTACTCCAAAATTCAAACATGGCAGAGCCATGCAAGATAAAGTCGGAGAGGGACCATGTTCTTCCTGTCTCCCATGGCCCAGCTCAGGCTCTGATGAAAGTTGTACAAAGCACTGGAAAAGGAGAAACATTTGTTTTTCTGACATGATGAGCATTCAGAAGAAAGTGTATTAAGGCTAAAGGCTAACACCAGCCTTTGGCCACAGGCCTTGAAAATTGTAAGTGAAATGGGGCAAGGGGGTAATATCAACCTTTGGTCATAGACCCTCAGGATTGAGTTAGTTATGTACACTGTGGGGAAGGCAGCAAGTCCTAGGACAGGACCCCATAGCCCACATTATAAGGGATGAGTTATGAAGAGATACATATATTTACTGTGTTTGTTTGTAAAGATGGGGTTCAGTTTCTAGGTCTGTCAATCACAAGGCTACCCAGATCCCTGCCTTGCATTTTCTCCTCGATAGAATGACAGTGAGGAGGATGAGCAGCTGAGATGATGAGATGGGGTGATTGAGGTAAAATACCAGCATAGTGTCTGGCATGTAGCACGAGCTCCACAAATTTTATGATTTCCTATTATATAGCAATTATTAGTACCGTCCCATTACCCACCACAGGGCCCAGAAGTCACAAGGTGTATATTTATAAATGTGTCTTGATGCAGTAATAAGGAAAGAACCATGCAGGAAACAAGTCATACACTGATATTTGTAACGTGTGAATCATTGCTAAAGATGCAACTCAGCTCCAGTTAATATAAGAAACAGGGAGGTGGTACCATCAAGGAAGGAGGCAGGGGGATTCGTGTGCAGTTTGTTTGGGAGGTAAGGGTTTTGCGAGTTGAAAGGATAGTTGAGCTGCAGACTTGCTTGAGCCTCATCTTTTGTATAAACACCCAAGCTTCTTAAAAAAAAAAAGAGAGAGAGAGAGAGAGAGAGAGAGAGAAAGAGAGAGAGAAACACTCAGTTCACACTTCCATACAAAGATCAAGCAAACACTGTTTTATTGCTAGCTGGTAATGAGAAAATAAACAAGGAAACTGAAGGGTAAACAAACACATAATTAGAGCTGAGAAGAGGCATAGATGTCATTCCTTGGCCAATGATCTGTGATAGCACTTTTTATACTTGGTCGTAAATTCTACTCCAGCTCTGATGTGGACAGTGAACACGGGTGACAGAGAGAAGCACAAGGCAGTGTTCCAAGGAAGGAAAGGGAAGGGGGCAATGGGGATGTGAGTGGAATTTGGTGACAGGAATCTTCTGAGGAAGAGGACATGGTGGTTTGTATTAATCCCAGCGCCCTGAGGCAGAGGCAGGTGGAGTTCTGTGAGTTGAGATCTAGGCCAGCCTGGTTTACATAGTGAGTTCCAAGACAGCAAGAGCTACATAGAAAGACCCTGCCTCTAAACATACATACATACATATGTACATACATACATACATACATACATACATACATACATACATACATAAAAAATAAATCAATGTGGGAAAGAGAAGTTGCCCTCTCTTCCCCGCCATCACAGCACCAGACAGGCCCTGCCCATACTCAGACATTTCCTCAATTTCCATTCTTCTTGTTCTCAGATCCAGCCTTCCAGTTAGCCATGCTCCTCCCCTAGGACTTCAGTACTAGCTCTCCTTAGTCCCTCATCTTCTGCAGCTAAGGAACAATCAGCCCCACTGGTCTCACATAGTCCTCTGCCTTAGGTTTCCATCTTTCCTAGCAATGGGACCTGGCCTTTTACTGTATCAGTGCAAAACTGGGCTAATTTTATCTTCATGCCTTGCGTTTCAACCTGCTTCAAGACTGTGAACTTGTTGAAAGCACAGCACCACTTCTTGATGAATACTGTAGACTGAGCATCTTGCATAGTATCTAGAGTAAAGCAAGCTCGGAACCCATTGGCTTCCTTCTGAACCTGGTCCTTGCTACTGCCTGGCCATACCTTGCCCATCTATTGTGAGTCCTTTGCCAGTGGTCCTCTGGAATATCTGTTCTTTCCTTGTTTTTCCTTAGTTCTTTAGCTGGCACACAAATACCCAATGCATCTCATATTCTCTTTCTCTCTCTCTCTCTCTCTCTCTCTCTCTCTCTCTCTCTCTCCCCTTAAAATGCCTCACAAGAAGAGTTTTTATTATCCCTTCCATATAGACTGTCTTTCTGTCTCTCCCTCCCCCTTCATCTCCCAGGCTATGTCTACACCACCCTATTTAGTTTATTCCCTTTGAAATGGCACAAATTCTTACCTTCACCACTACATTTAGGACCACCATAAATGGAACTACTTTTTTACTTTCCCCATCATCTTTCTGTCTTTAGTCTCCCTCTATTTTCTCTTACTATTCCACTGGAATACATTTTAGAGGAGATTTTCATAATATCCATGGTATTTTTTTCTTTATGTTTAAATTATAACAGTAGGAGAAGGCTTGAAAAGAGTTCTACAAGACAACTCTCCCTAACAGAACTATGTATGTGGAGGAGGAGAGCGAGAAAGAGTGGGAGGGGCAGAGGAAGAGGGAGAATGATACAAATTGTAGATGCAAGGTTAACTCAAGAGTGTTGCTTTCCTCCCTTAATTTGCAAGCCAGAGGGAACTCAACTGACTCAATGCAACATGAAATAAGATTCTAGGAAAAAATCAAAGTGATTACTAATGAGGATAACTTTCTTCCTCCAAAACAATGCAGAAGGAAAGGAAAAGTTTGTTTCCAAGGCTTAAAGTGTACATTGCAACACAACAGTGTCATTAGCACTGTCTTGAGAAGGGACGGATGAGGTCAGAGGGGCTTCTGTCACCTGCAGTATCTTTGGAGGAAAGACTCCTCATTCACTCTTTTCACAGAGGAATTGACCACCTACTTTCATATGTGAATTAACACTGCTTTTCTCACATGGCTTCAGCATTGGATTACACAGGCCCAACCACGGGCACCTAGACACATTCCCATTCAGTTTTAATCTTCCTTGGCTCATTGTTCCAGCCTGTTGGGATCTTCTTGAATACCGACTTGGTCATCCCAGAGTGCTCTTTTCCAACTTTGTGTCAACCACTGAGAATCTAAGAGGTATGTGATCTGTGTTTTTCTTAGAAACATTGATTAAAAATGTGGAGTAGCACTCAAATAGGCAGGGTACCCTCTACCATCTCCCTCCCCTCCTGATGAATTCTCCAACAATCTGTCTTCTGGTGATTTTATGTTGACTTGGCTGTGTCTCTTCACCTCTTCCAATGGGAGATCATAAAAGATCTTGTCAAATACTTCGATGAAGTCCAAGTGCACCATGCCCACTTCATTTCCCTCATTAAGCTGGCACAAAGATACATAATGCTGGCAGGGGAATAATATGAGCAGATCGACAAAACTTGTTTTTAGCACATCAGTGCCAAGTGGCCATGATTTCTCTTTCCAAGTGCTTATAAAAACAACACCCTTCATTGACAGCTACCCATGGTTGCATGCAACCGACAGCAAGCTCACTGCCACACATCTGGAGATTGTCTCTCTTTCCACAAAACAGACTGATGTGTGCCTGTTTGCAACTCTGGATGTCTTTATTTCCTCGATTCTGCAAAGATATGCACATATCTTCTCCCTTCGTCTAGGGGTCCACATTACATATTTTCTCAGTGTCTTTTCCTTTGAAAAAGTCTTTTCCTTTTCATGGAGTCCTATGGGGTGGCATGAAGCACTAGAGAGACATGAGGATGTTATGACTCAGGCTGTGGGGTGTAGCAAAATAGAAGCTTCTGGAGAGTGTCCCTTTCAATGCACTCAGTATACTGCTCCATAGACATACAAGTGTGCTCTGGAATAATAATTGCATGGAGTCCACCTCAGCCAGAGATTTCTGAGGAATCAACTCCTAAATAATTTTTCCTCCCCATCGCCATGCATACTATTCATCTCTGGTATTACCAGCTCCAAGATATCAAAGGGAAAACTCCCAGCCACTGAAGAGGCACTTACCCACTTGCCCAAGCCTGGGTAGTCATGTTCTGGATCAAAAAGGTGCTGGTTTAGCTGGAATTCTCGACTGAATTCTGCAGTGTCAGGGGCATTTTCTAGACATCCATCATTGGCTGTGGACAAAGGTTTTTGAGAAATGGTCAACACATCTGTTGTCATTCTATAAGTTAACTTATCAGAAACAATTAGACACACAAAGGTCATAGTCTGTTCATATCAGACACTCCAAATCATGTTCTTTCTGGGTTCCAATCCCCCTCTGCTTGTCACAAGCAACCACTCCAGAAGCAAAGACCTGTTGGCTTCCCTCCAAATCCACTTCCCTTTTCTCCTTGGCACACAGCAAGGCTAATTTTCCAGCCTTTCTTTACAATAAGGTGGAATCATTTGCCTGAGCCCAGGGCAATGGAATGTAGGTAGAAGTGATATATTCTACTTCCAGGCCTGTCCCCAAAAACCTCCTTGTGATAGTCCACTTTCCCCAACTCTACCCCATGTGCCAGTCAGTATGCATGTAGCCAGCCAGGGCATGGAGTGGGGACATCAAGAGTCAAGAAAGCAGAACCATCTACTGATGGAGTCCACAAGACTATGAAGTAGATCACTGTTAATCTACCTCTATCATTTCCTTACCTCCCTGTGACAGGACTTCACATAGTGAGAAACAAGTTTCTATTGGAAAGAACTTCTAGAATATTTCATTTACTTCAATGTCAAGTGTTTCCTTAGGAGATGCCTTTCCACCCACATGAATCCCTCTGTTTCTCTTGGGTGATGTCTTCATGACCACTCTAGTGCCTTCAGACAGGTCTTGGTGCTGTGTATTACAGCAGCAGTGGCATGTGTTTTACAGTCAAGCTTAATGATCAAATCCCAGCACTTGTGGGGTTTTTAAAAATTAACCTGGCTTCTCTAATTCTGTTCACTTACCTGTGAGATACAAATAATCAAATATTTACCTAGTTGCCCTAAGAAATGAAGGTGACCAAGTATGGTACTATTGTCAAATGGGAGGTTTGCAGTATAATTAAAGCCCCTTTCAGCCACCTCCTTTTAAATGAAAGTTTCTTCCAAGATAGCTCTTTTGTTGTTATTGTTTATTTTGCTTTCATTTTGATTGCTACCTTACAGAGAGCCTTACTCTGTGGCTCAGACTGGCTTCAAACTCATAATCTTCCTGCTGTCACTGCCTGCTGAGGCTTCGATTACAGGGCTATGCCATAGTGCCCAGCTTGATGGGTCACTGAAGTACTTCCCATTCAAACCATTATCTTTCCTGCTTCTATTCTTCTTCTAGAAGATCCATGATAGCTGGTATGGTCCCCTAAAAGTGAGTTTTTAAAACTTCCTGCTTCCAATGTATTTTAGACAACATCTTTAAAAAGAGGAGAGAAATAGGTGCAGAAGATCCATCTCAATGGTTGAGGGTATATATAGGACCCTGAGTTCAAGTCCCAGCATCATAAAAACAAGGTATAGAAGGAGAGGTGAAGACAGAGGCTGAGAAATTTTGTGCAAGGCCAGGGTAGGAAGGAAGCCCCGCCCCCTCCTGCTCTTTCAAAGGGATAATGACCTGTCAAAGTCAACACTGAGAGGAGATCTATTTGCAATTAGGGAGGCTGTCTAGCTCTTGGGAGGGACTAAAGTCTCTAGACATGCAGTGTCTCAGTCCTGAGCACCAGGAAGCTGGTGTGGAAGTTATTAGTTCTGCAAACAATTCCCCAATGTGACTCCCCACTTCTCACTGAGCCATTTCTAATGTCTTTATCATGTGGGAATGGGATACCAGGCAGAGTGTGGGAATGCAGCAGCAGTTTTGTAACCTTTTGGTAACTCTTTCTCAAGTACCTTGAGATTGAGCAGTAGTGATGAAGCCTTGCTGGGGGGCCTGGCTGAGATTTGGGGGGCTGAAAATGTGCTCTAGAAGTCACCTTCTAGCCCTGCAGTCAAGAGTTGGATTCTAGGAGCTGCACTGCTCTATGCAGGGAGATGGGTGATGATTCAGGCAAGAGCAGGGCAGGGCAGGGCAGGGCCAAAGTTCTAGTTTGTGTTAGTCAACTGTGCTGTTCTGTATCACAAATGTTGGAAGGTGGTCTCAAGAGATTCTTCTCCAAGAGTTGCTAAATTTAGTAAACAATTTCTAGTTTTAGATTGCCAGTTGTGTCAGCAAAACAATGTGGTGTATGTCAGCTACATGGAACGGCAGCGAAGGCAAAAACAGATTCTGAGGCAGAGCCTAGCGCTGGGATCACTCTGGTTTGCTCTTGTTTGTGTCCTAAGTGCATACACAGAGTGCTATGTCACTCAGGTCTTGCTTGGGATAACCCGGAACCACACTGTATATTTCTTTAAGGTTTTGGGTGGGTCATATTTCTATAGATGAAGAGACTGAAGCCTAAAGACACACTGTGTGGTTAACCCTGGGACTCAGATCTCTTGGCTCACACTCTGGATCTCTTTCCCTTATCTTCTAAAAGTAGTTTTCAAACTTCAGTGTGCCCCAAGGCCAGTCACTACACACACAGGCATACAGCGTCTGCTTCAGTAAGTCTGATTCAGCCAGGAGATCTGCATTTCTAGCAAATTCCCAGGCTATGCTGCTGCTGCTGGCCCAGGGCCCCCACTTCAAGAACCTCTGTGCTATACTCTATCTTACCAACTTTTCCAGAACCCCCACTCTGAGACAGTCTCTCTTCCTGCCTATCCAGCACCCTACAAGCAAGTAAAAGGTGGCTGATGGGCTTGCTGCCAGGCAGTGACTAAAGATTTCCTGTCATCTGGGGCCAGCCACCTCACACTGGCCCAGTCATATCCAACTCCCATGTTGCTCCACCCAACATGGGAGCTCTGTGCTTCAGGGAAGAGAGAAGCCTCACCCTAAATAAAAGGAGGAAAACTCTTCAGAGAGAGCTCACATTGTAACTGGGGTCAGAATTTCCAGTTACCTCCCGTTATAACCCAAGGCCATGTTCCTTACCAGTCTTCCCAAGAGGACAGGGATTTGGAGGGTCTGGGTAGCCTTGATCCTCGCTGAAGTCCTTAGGAATGTTGTCACCAGTCAACTCTGCCACTATGTTAGGGATGTTGCCAAAAGGACCTAGGTGCTGGAGACCCTCATGAGCTCCACCTGCAGTGGGAGGAAACGTCTTGAAATTGACATTTACTCAGCAGACAGTGTGGACAAAGCACTGTGCTTGGTGAGCAAGGGAAATACAGCAGATGCTTCCTGCCACCTTGAGGTTTGGGATTTAGCTGCAGAAACGGACACACAGTATACATCGATCATTTCCTCAGAATGTGAATTGCACATGGCTCTCACAGAAATGTTAAAACCGGGTTATGGAGCTTAGAGGAGAGACAGTTCCCTTTAGCTGGTGGGATGATTGGGTTTTTTGGATGCTCACATAGGTGACCAGGTCTCTGGAGTTGAGTATGGATGTGAGTGGGAACGAGGGTCACACTTAGAGGCAATTGTCACAGAGGCCTGATAGATGGAAAGACATAATGGGGGGGGATTAAAGAAAATCTCACTAGCATCCTGCCACTCCAACTTAACAACTGAAAATTTGATTGTTCCAACTGTTCTCTTCTGTATATATTTTTTCTACATAAATCTTTACAGGGGCAGAGGCAGTGGCTCAATGGTTCAGAGTGTTTGCTGCTCTTCCAGAGGATCTGAGTTGGGTTCCCAGCGTCCACAGTCAGAAGTGACAACTATCTGTAACTCCAGCTCTAGAAATCTGACAGCCTCGTGTGGCATTAGTAGGCAGCCACCCTTATGTGCGCACTCGTGCGCGCACACACACACACACACACACACACACACACACACACACACACAAATAAATGTAAAAAATGTAAATATTTTATAATTTTTATTTCATATTAAATCACAAGATTCTTTCCATTTGCAGGCCTGTGCCCCATTTCTGAATTTATGAAGGACAATGTTGTTTTCTATCTCATCAGTGTACCATGACACATTCACTATTCCTCTATTGTGAGACACTTAGTATTTCCCAATTTACTTTTGGACCTTAATTTTTTCCATATTTTGGATTAATTTTCATCAGGATAAGTTCCCAGAAGTAAGTCAAATTACTAGGTCAGATGCTATAAACATTTTTATGGCTCATGATACTGTACTGCCAAATGTTTTCCAAAAAGGAGGTACTAATTTATAAAATATCGCCAAAACATGAAAGTACCATTTTTACAACATCCTCACTAACACTGGGTTTCATAAAATTTCATATTTTTCTTGCTCATTTAAATGGATTTGACTGCCAAATCAAACGAATATCTTCCATATGTTTATTTACTGGTTTTATTTGCCTTTTTATGACTTGTTTGTTTATGCTTCTAGAATTACAATGTTTCTCTTATCAACTTGTACAAACATTTCACTTAATAAAGATATCAGGCCTTTGTCACATTCTCTGCTAGCATTCCCCACATTGTCTAACTTTGAATTCTGGTTGCTATTATAATATTTTGCTAACATAAGCTTTTAATATTTGCATAGTCCGAGTTGTTTTTAAATCTCCTTTGTAATTTCTTTTTAACTGTCTAGACTTGTAAAATCATTGCCTCTTCAGAGTTATGACTAACATTTGGATATTTTAGTTTACTTTTAAAAAATTAACTCTATAATCCATTATTTATTTTAGCTGTTTAAAATAGATAACCTATTATCCCATCTCATTTGTCCAATGACTGTTTTCATTTCCTTCGTGCCAGCAACAGAAGTCCAAGCGCCTGATCCATACATACACAGACAGGGCAGTGAACCAGACGAAGTTCCCATGGTAACTTATTTTACTGTACCTACTGTGCCTTTTGACTGCAGGACTACTTCACTTGTAAGATTGACTTTTTTTTTTTTAATTAATTTGCTTTTTACATTCCAATCACAGTTCCTCCTCTCTCCTTTCCTCCCACTCCGTAACACTGACACTTTACAAGGTTGGGAAATTTCCTTTGGCCAGACCCTTTCTTAGGAAGACTTCGTATTTTCAACTGTTAGGAAACTGGTGCCCCTCCCTCATAGCTGCATTAATCTATGTATGTGGTGGCCACAGACGTCCAAAGTGGGGGGTTCTACTTTAAATCATCGGATGACCTGTTGTGCATTAATTCCATGTCCACAAGAAGCATGACCTTCCCCTTTGTCCACCTTACCTAACTAAGTCCAGCCAGGCAAAACTCCCTTGACCCTGTGTGACTACACTGGTGTTGTCTTTTTGGCCAAACCCGATCCTCTTTGGATAGGCATGTTGTTTTCTTTGGGGTTGTAAACATATCCAACTAGGATCATCATGGCTAGACCTTGGCATCTCTCTGAGGTATTTTTCCATCACTGTCTCTGTTATGTTTGATTCAAGTTTAACCTTAAAGGGACAAACTTACTTCCCTTAGTAGCATTAGCCTTCAAATATAGACACTGCCAACATGCTGGGTTACTTTGCTTGTACTTATACTGTATTCCATTACTCCACAATAAGAGTGGATGTCTACAAGATTTATATATTAAAAAAAAAAAATGGTTGGGGCTTGCAAACTTGCTCAGTGGTTAAAAGAAGTGGTAGCTCTTCCAGAGGAGCCGAGTTTAATTCTCAGCACCCACACAATGACTCAGAACCATCTATAGCTCCAGTCCTAAGGCATCTAAAATGTCGTTCTAGCATCCATGGGCACTGCATGTACATTGCACACACATACACGCTGGCAGAACACCCACACATATAAAATAAAATAAGTTCAAAGTTCTGTTTTGTTTTGTTTTGTTTTGTTTCTGGGCAGTGGTGGCACACACCTTTAATCCCAGCACATGAGAGGCAGAGGCAGGCAGATCTCTGAGTTTGAGATCAGTCTTTTCTACAGAGTGAGTTCCAGGACAGCCAGAGAAACCCCACCTTGAAAACCAAAGAAACCAATCAACAAACAGGCATTCCTTTTGTGGATCACTTTAATTATGTGAACATTTAAAGTAAGCTATTTTGTGTAAATATAGCCAATATTCAACATTATTTATATAGTTTTATGTCCTTTTTCATATTTCATCATAATTCACATTAAAATATATTTGCTAAAAATCTACTATGACTAATAAGTATCTGTCAGCCTCTTATTTCTTACTATTTTCAAGCCAGCACTCTAATGCTATGTTAGTTAGTGTGCCCACAGGAATAAAATTCTTCATTTTAATTCTGTAGGTAATTGTTATGATTTGTAATTCTGTTATTAGCTTGTTACTCTCATTCCTCTAATTTGATCTGTCTTTATTTTTAACCACTCTGGATCTTCATAAAGTGTTATCTAAGTCACACAGTGCTTACAGAAGTACTCTGGGAATACTTGCTTTTTTTTCCCTGAATTAATTTGTTTTTCCAAATTAACCTACAAACTGCAAAGGTTAAACCAATAGATCAGTGCATTTGGTATTGATATACTTGAAGCTTAGTATAACCTTGGCTCTGTAACCACCACTGTGCTTGTTACAGGGCAAGCTCTCTGGTATGTCAATACATGTCTCTGCTTCTGAAAGCGCCCTCGACTTAAGTGCCAGGAATTATCCAACTTGGCTCAGAGAGAACGCATGTCTTAATGCTCCATTAGTAATTAATGAAGGAAGCAAACATAGTTTCCTTCATGGAAAGCCTGCCAGAGCTCTGTTTACCTCTGTGCCGGTGCCACTTACATGAATGTAGCACTTGTTAGGAAGCAACAGATGTTTAGAACCAGGTAGATCTACTGGAACACAAACTTCTTTTCAAACCGTACTTAACGACATCAAATCCAGATGCACTCACTGAGGCAGGAACCCTGGGGGACATGCAGATGTCAAAGACACTGTCCTGCGCACATCTAGAAAATAAGCTTGAAAATAGTGGCATGTGCAACCAAATGCTGCTTTTCTGATTTGGTACATCGTTTAGAACAGGTCTGTGACATCACATGCTAAATCAGCCAAAGTGCTGTGATACCACGGGTTCTGCTCTGTCGGTTTACCTCAGCTTCCTTAATCCTCTGACATTATCCAAACATGCGTTTAAAAATCATTTTCAATCAATTTAAACTACTTATTGAACATAGTCTATGTATCAAGATTTAGACAAAACAGATTATCTAGATTGAGTATTAGACGGTGTGGTGGTTTGAATGAAAATGGCCCCCATAGGCTCATAGATTTGAATGCTTGGTTACCAAGGAAGTGATACTATTTGAAAGGATTGGGAGGTAAAACCTTGTTGAAGGTGATGTATCACTGGAGGTGGGTTCTGAGGTTTGCAAAATCCCAGACCAGACTCAGTGGCTTTCCTTTTCTGCTACCTGCACCAGGATGTAGAACTCTCAGCTACATCCCCAGCACCATGTCTGCCTGCATGCCACCATGCTTCATGCCACGGCAATAATGGACTAAACTTCTGAAGCTGTAAGCCAGCTCCAATTAAATGTTTTCTTCTGTAAGCGTTGCTGTGACTAAGGCAGAGAGTCAGCTGTAAACCAGATTATTGTGGATGCTGCTTTCATTGAGTTCTAGTATTTAGTGAGGGGGTGTGGAGACAGACATGCACAACACAGCCAGCTGCAATGCATGTATCACAAAACTGGGAAGCTACAGGATGTTACCATTGTATAGAGAAGTATGTAGCCCGGTCTCAGGGGCATGAAGGTCTTTCTGCAGGAAACAACACGCCAATTATTTTATTAGTGCTATAGAACATGAAACTGTGACAATGTGGTGGTTTCTGTTCTCTAGCTATTTCTACAGTCTACTTGGTTATTCAAAATAACACAATGAAACAACGAACAGGATATGCAATCCAGTGTGGCTATGCATGGCATAGGTATCATGACATCACTGTGCAGGGGTAAGCTGCAAGGAAAAGAAGCCTGCTTTAAGAATGCTGTTGAGGCTCAGGAGCGAAATTACCAGGACCAGGATCAGGATGACCACAGCAGGAATTGAAGTTTCTAGCAATACACACAAAGCAGTCAGAAGTCTGTGAAGCTTCCAAACAGTAGTGATCTGAGGGGTTTGAGAAAATACCAGTGGTAAAAACAAGATCTTTTTTACTAACACCTTTGAAATTATTTCAGATAATTAATTCTGTCCTGTGATGAGACATTACACCTGTAACACTCTACAAATAACTCTGG